AGACAATGTAGAAAAGAACTGAAGAAGACCCCTCTCAGACATGTAACATGAGAAAAAAATTTATTTGGGATAACAGTAAGATATTGAGTGTGGCTGTTAATGCAATATAATATGACTAGACCCTGTCTAATACAAAGAAGTTGTTTTTTGAACGCTTTCTTTTAACTAAGATGTATTGTTTAGTTAGTTGTACCAATTTACATTTTGTGCAGATGCAAAAGTTGTGATTGCACATTTTCAATTTTATTCCAATAATATTGATAAAAGCTTTACTTATTTTTCTATTAGGTAGTATATCTATAAGTATAAAATGTTACCAAAGTTTCCTTCCCTTCCGGCTTGCTCCTCTGTCCATTCCTTATCCCTCAGCATGGAAATCATTGTTATTAGATTCTTAGGTAGCTTTTTGAAGTTTCTTTATCCAAGGAAATATAGATACAATTCTTATTTTCTGTACTTTTACACCAAAGGTGGTGCATTATTCATATTGTTCTGAACATGAGATTTTATTTATGATATTATCCTGGAGGACTTTATCAGTGAAGAGATAGCTCTCATTCGTTTTTATCCACATAGTATCCATCATATGTCTGTATCACAATTCAGTTAAGCCTGGTTCTTTGAAGGGTCATTGGGTGGTTTGATTCTTTTGTTATCACAGTGTTGCCATAGCTAGGAAGTGACTTGCCTGGGCTTTCACCCAGGCCATCTGAACCTATCCTGTTAGCCACCAGGCTATGCTTAGATAAGCAAGTTAGTGCAGTGTGTAGTTCATGGAGTATGGGAACATGCACTGATCCTGGTGGGTATTTCACTCATACCTTTAAAGTATGTTCTTTTAGCTCACAAACTTAGGTTGTAATAGTGTGTTTGGTGCTTACAGTTATTATGCATTACATGTTTCTTATATGTCTTATGTTCTATAGTTATGATTCTTTGAAGAAATTCTTCTAATTTTTGTGGGGTTTTGTTTTTTTATGGAGTCAAAAAAGGTTGCACTAGTTAAAAAACAGTGTTGCAACAAACAAACTTGTACTTATGCCATTTTGCATATGTACAATCACATTGGTTGACTAGATTCTGAGAAGCAAAATTGATTGGTCAAAAGTATGTGTGTTGCAATTTTGACAGACAATTGCTACATTTCTTGTTACAGAAATTGTACTAATTTACACTCCCACCAGCAATGTATTAAGGTCTCTGATTCCTTGACTAGCCAAGAGTGTGTTATCAAACTTGGGAATATTTACATATCTGAGATGCAAATAATGGCATCTTAGTGTACCTTTAACTTGCATCTTTCTTATCATAAGAGGGATTGCTTATTACTCCCAACAATGTAGTTAAACCTCTGTATTCATTGGTGCCCTGGGTACCTGCTTAGCAGGTCAGCCCTGACTCAGGCTCTGCTCCAATTCAATTTCTCCTTTCTTTCATTTGTTGCTATGACTCTAAATACTCTCTGGCTCTAACTTGTAATACGCATTTCTAGTTTTCTTCCTCTGGCTTAGTGCTTGTTGACCAACTAGAATAAAAATATCCCCTTTACAGGGGAATAGTTTACAACAATCAGTCTTTCACAAATAATGAAAATAATCCATTGGTATGTTTTGTAGTAAGATTTCTAAATGGGAAGAGCCAGGAGTATCAGGCTCATAACTGGAGAGAAAATGGAAATGGCAGCACAGAAAAGATTCTTGACAGCACCAAGAAAAATATCTGCCAAAGGAAAATGATTAGAACTGGCTTCATTTTATACAACTTCTTACTTAAATATCTTGACTTGAAATCTCTTTCTCTGTCTCTTTCTCTCTGCTCTCCTTCCAACTCCACACTGTACTTCACGCAAAATTAGGAACCATAGAGACTATTGAATGAGGAGTTGAGTTGAATGTAGCCTTTCCAGGGAAGAAAATTTAGTGTAAGAACTGGAGAAAATGAAACAGCATTTCTCATAATCTGCAGGTTTGTAACTGATATTATTTTTTTCTAAACTGTACCATGGTTATTATCATGCAATCAAAGATCCTAGCTTCATATTTATTCATTAGTAATTCCTGGCTGAAAGCCTTATATAACAAACTGGTTCTTTCTATTCTTCCAAAATAGTTGTTCATCAAATTGAATTATGAACAAATGGGGTTTTCGCCAAGAAACACACTCTTACATTTTCAGCATAGCTGTTAAACAGTCAGTATTTAGGTAATTGAAATCTCCCATGAGCAGCATTCTGACTTTTCTGACCATTTTTGATCTACACAAATATTTCACAATTTGATTTCATTAATGATTTTGCAGATCAATAGGAAACTAGAAGCATCTTGTTCCCTTTTGCAATATTAAGTTTTATCTGGATAGTAAAGATTATCTGTCAGTTAAGATGTTAAATATTCATCCATCTGGTAATTCACAGTTTTCATTACAGACCCTGCCAGAATGTCAAAATCCCTGTCAGAGAATATAATGCTCATTTTCAAGATGTATAAAAATTGTCATGTCAATATTCACAAAGTAAGTATGCAAATTTACATTTATGTCAGAAATATGTATTTAACCCAGCTCTTTCTCCAGCCCTTAGCACATGCTTTGAGGAGGCAATCTAGAGAAACATTTTCCTCAGCGAGACATCTCCTCCTCCTCCTCCTACTTTTGAAGTGGCAATGACTGCTATCAGCCCAGCCTTTCCTTCTAAAGGAGCCCTACTTGTCTTTGATGTAGTTTGCAAACTCACCCTCAAGAAAAGATAGATTTTTCTTATCACCACTTGGGGTGGTAGAAGGAGAGAATGAGGATCCATTCCTCCCAGCCTGACACTCCTTTATATCTCCACAGCATGATGTTCGATTTTTTCACAGGCTCTTACTGAATTTTCAGATAATAGATATATACATATTTTTTAAATTCTTTATTAAGGTGTGATTGATATACACTCTTATGAAGGTTTCACATGAAAAACAATGTGGTTACTACATTTACCCATATTATCAAGTCCCCACCCATACCCCAATGCAGTCACTATCCATCAATGCAGCAAGATGCCAGAGATCCACTATGTGCCTTCTCTGTGCTACACTGTTCTCCCCATGATCCCCCACACTATGTGTACTAAACATAATACCCCTCAGTCCCCTTCTCCCTCCCTCCCCACCTGCCCTCCCCCACTCCTCCCCTTTGGTAACCACTAGTTCATTCTTGGAATATCTGAGTCTGCTGCTATTTTGTTCCTTCAATTTTGCTTCATTGTTATACTTCACAAATGAGGGAAATCATTTGGTACTTGTCTTTCTGCGCCTGGCTTATTTCACTGAGCATAATGTCCTCCAGCACCATCCATGTTGTTGCAAATGGTAGGGTTTGTTTCTTTCTTATGGCTGAAGAGTATTCCATTGTATATATGTACCACATCTTCTTTATCCATTCGTCTACTGATGGACACTTAGGTTGCTTCCATATCTCAGCTATTGTAAATTGTCCTGCTATAAACATAGGGGTGCATATGTCTTTTTTAATCTGAGAAGTTGTATTCTTTGGATATATTCCAAGGTGTGGGATTCCAGGGTCAAATGGTATTTCTATTTTTAGTTTTTTGAGGAACCTCCATATTGCTTTCCACAATGGTTGAACTAGCTTACATTCCCACCAGCAGTGTAGAACGGTTCCCCTTTCTCCGCATCCTCTCCAGCATTTGTTGTTCTTAGTCTTTTCGATGCTGGCCATCCTTACTGGTGTGAGGTGATATCTCATTGTGGTTTTAATTTGCATTTCCCTGATGATTAGTGATGAGGAGCATTTTTTCATGTGTCTGTTGGCCATCTGAATTTCTTCTTTGGAGAACTGTCTCTTCATATCCTCTGCCCATTTGTTAATAGGGTTATTTGCTTTTTGGGTGTTGAGGCATGTAAGTTCTTTAAATATTTTGGATGTTAACCCCTTGTCAGATATGCCATTTACAAATATATTCTCCCATATTGTAGGATGCCTTTTTGTTTCGTTGATGATGTCTTTTGCCATTCAAAAACTTTTTAGTTTGATGTAGTACCATGAGTTCATTTTTGCTTTTGTTTCCCTTTCTTGAGGAGATGGGTCCAGGAAGAAGTTGCTCATGCTTATATTCAGGAGATGTTTGCCTATGTTGTCTTCTAAGAGTTTTATGGTTTCATGACTTACATTCAAGTCTTTAATCCATTTTGAGTTTACTTTTGTGTGTGGGGTTAAGCAATAACCTAGTTTCACTCTCTTGCATGTAGCTGTCCAGTTTTGCCAACACCAGCTGTTGAAGAGGTTGTCATTTCTCTATTGTATGTCCATGGCTCCTTTATCACATAATAGATATTTATGTATTGTACTTAGTACCCTCTAGGTGTAAACTTTGAAGAAAAAGCTTGGTACCCATTGCTTTGTGATATGTAAGTAATGAAAAATTTGTGTTTATTTGAATTAAATAATTAATGTGTGACTAGGTTTGATTTGCTGCCACCTTGTTTTATTTTCTTAGACTATTGGTTTTTCAAGTGAGTAGTGAGAAAATGTATGGATGTATATATAAATTTACATCAATATTCACAGTTCACTCATTATTTTAGAATTTATAAATTTTGTTTATTTTCCTATAAATTAGTATTAGTTTCTAAGATATAGTGTTTTATAATACATAACATTTATTTTAGTATAATGTGTGTAAGACTTATAAGTAGAAAAATACGGTGCTAGAGGTGTGTACCCAGATTTCTTTATTGAAATGATTACAAAACCATAAAATTTTGGAAACCATTATCTAGAATATAATACATGATGAGGGTAAGGGTCGAACCTCTAAGAAGAGAACAATTTCAGGGGATATTCAAGTAATGTTTGGATTGTTAAATCTTCATGTTCTCTTCTTGGAACAATAAAAGGTAAAAACGTTGAGTCTGAAATTCAAAATGCAAAGGAATATTGCCTTTCAATTGCATGTAATTTTATTCTCTGTTCCTAATGTCACCCTTCTCTTTTCCCATTAGGAAATTACACATGAAGGAGAAATGCCAATATGACATTTAACATACTGTGGGAATCCTAACAAGAAAGTCTATTCAAGCTACTAGATGTGACACTGAAGTGGAAGGAACCAGGAGAGTCAAAGTGAGATTGTGTAAAAATTTGGATTTTTTATTCCATGTGCACATAATGTGGCCTTGCAAGTCATGGACAGCCTCCAAACTTTTCTTAAATAAAGAACAGAAACATATCCTATGGGCACAGCAGGATTATTTTGATAATTAAATGGAAGTGAAAATGAAGCAAACTAAGGTTTTATTTTTATACTTTGTCATAGTATTTGCAATTACCATAAAAATACTCAGGGATGAAGAGGGGTATCATGTTAATAAACCAGACCAAACAGAAAATATTTTCTAAGTCTTTAAATAAGTTCCAAGTTTATTTATTTGAAAACCCTACTGTCTTAAAAAATTTTTTCAGGATACTGCTAATCTAAATGAAATTAAAAATATAATTCTATAATGGAAAGGTCTTTCTTGGTTTAAGACATGTTTAATTGAAATTTATATAGCTGTCCTGTATATGTTAACATCTTGTGGCTACTGCTTATTTTCTAGCTGAATTTGAGTGAGATAAATAATAGCTGAAGATGGCAAAATTTACACAGAGATAGTGTATGGCTCTAAAATTAGAGAATGGAAGCAATTGTACATTGACAAATCTATTTTGTAGAAATATTTATATTATTTTATATTTTAATAAACTTTATTTTTTAGAGAAGTTTTAGGTTCACGGCTAAATTGAGCAGAAAGTACAGAGATTTCCCATATACTCCCTACCCCTACACAAGCATAGTCTCTCTAAAACACCCTGTACTAGAGGGGTACATTTGATATAACTGAACCCACATTGACATATCATTATCACCCAAAGTCCATAGTTTACATTAGGGCTCAATTTTGGTGTTACACATTCTATGGGCTTTGGCAAATGTATAATGGCATAAAGCCACCATTATAGTTTTATGTAGAATGGTTTTACTGTGCTAAAAATCCCGTGTTCTAACTTGCCGTCCCTGTCTCCCCTTTGATACTTGACAACTACTGATATGTTTACTGTCTCTGTAGCTTTGCCTTTTTCCAGAATGTCTTGGAGTTGGAATTTCATAGTATGTAGGCTTTGCTGATTGACTTCTTTCATTTAGTAATACGCATTACTAGGATTTAAGATTCCTCCATGTCTCTCATGGCTTGATAGTTCATTTATTTTTAGTAGTGAATAACTGGGTAAAACTGCAATATTTCCAGAATCTCTCACTTGGCCTTAGTGCATCTTCATATCAATAGGTGATTACAAGTGTGGGGGGAACAAGGGCATATCTGGACTGGAGAGGTTTTGTGGCATCCCTTCTTTGTAGCCAGGTTGCAAGAGACATGGGTGAGCAGAAGTGGATAACTGCTTGTAAACAATAAATGTGTTTCTCTCTGACTGATTTTGGCTGCAAAAGTTATTTGCCCAGGGCTAGGAATATATTTTCCCCCCAGAGTTGCAATAATATAGTCTAGTTGTACCACAGTTTATACATTCACATTTGCTTCCAAGTTTTGGCAATTATGAATAACACTGCTACAAACATCTGTCTGCAGGCTGTTTTGTGGACATACATTTTCAACTCCTGGTTTTTAATACCAAGGAATGTGATTGCAGAATCATATGGCAAGATTATGTTTACTTTTGTAAGAAATCAAAAAACTGTCTTCCAAAGTGGTTGTACCATTTCGCATCTTCCCCGGTAATGAATGAGAGTTCTGTCATTCCACATCCTTGCCAGCATAGGAGTTGTTTTGAGTTTTGGTCGTCCAAATAGGGGTACAGTGGTATTTCTTTATTGTTTTAATTTTCATTTCTCAGATGACATACAATGTGGAGCATCTTTTTGAGACAGTGAAAAGACAGAGGCAGCCCCTGTCTAGTTAGAAGGGACCTCAGGGAAGAACAAAAGCGGGGACCTTACTGAAGTTCTCAGGAATATACAACAACAGGATGAGTTTGGTGGGAACGCCCTTGTTTTTCTTGTTTGCTAGCAGTAAGGGTCGCATGAGAATGCCAGATTTGAAAATATAGACAATCTTCAACAAGATTGGTCAAAACAATGAACAACATGCCAGCAGGAATCAGCAGAAATTAGACAACTCAGCTAAGTCTGAGATACATACCCCTAGACATACCCCAGACATGGGCACTCTTGCCCCCTCCCAGCATGCACTGGGAGTTCTGTACTATTACTTCCTCTAAACAGAAAGCTTTTTTCCCTGCTTGCTACCTTCAGCATTTGCAAAGTTCATTCTTTGACTCCATGAACAAGAACCCTGGTATCATTTTCATGTGCTTCTTTGTCGTCTGTGTATTTTGTCTGTTCAGATTTATAGCCCATTTTTTAAGTTGGGCTGTACTTTTTCTTATTGGGTTTTAATTTTTCTTCATATATTTTGTAAATTAGCCTTTTATGGGATATGACTTTTGCAAATATTTTCTCCCAGTCTGTGACTTACTTGTCTTCTCATTCTATGGATATTATCTTTTGCAGAGCAGAAGTCTTTAATTTCAGTGAAGTAAGCTTATTTCTTTCACAGGTCATGGCTTTGATATTGTAACTAAAAAATCATTGCCAAACTAACGTCATCTAGATTTTCTTCTATTATCATCGAGGACTTTTAAAGTTTTGTATTTCACATTTAGGTTCTGTGATCCATTTGAATTAATTTTTGTGAGAGGTACATAATCTGTCTAGATTCAGTTTTATCCAGTGTTCTAGCACCATTTGCTGAAAGACTATTTTCCATTGTATTTCCTTTTCTCCTTTGTCCAAGATCAGTTGACTATATTTGCATGGGTGTTTTACATAATTTAATTTCCATTATAAACAAACAGTTCATTTAAAGGCCTGGAATTTCTGATCTTTCTTAATTATAGATGAGAATATTAAGGTCTAGAGTTTTTCTAGAATTCACCACAGCCAAGATAAGAATCTTTTGACTTCCACTTGACTTTCAGTGATCTTTCTTCATCAGTCTATTTTTTAACCTGAATTCTATTGTTATAAAATTTATTTTTACTTTGATGACCTAATATACTGTTTATATTTTTGGAAATCAATTTTCAGTAAATATTAACAATACAACGTGATGCTATTTTAGCTAGTGATCTAAGATTTAAGAGTGTCAGTCAGGGTGGTGTAAGGGACTTCACTGTTTCTAATATAGTTAATTCCATATAGTCTCTGGGAAAGGAAAGGTAAGAGGAGTCACAAATTTCACTGGAATATTCCAACCATATTCTGGTTTGATATGTAGTTGCTATCCCTCTGACTTCTGCTTCTCTCTGATTGAGATAGGTGAATTTCAACTCTTTGCCTAACCTTATATTTGGACAACAACTTTTCTTTCTTTATCTTTAGATACAAATGATCCCCGTGACAACCAAGGCCTTTAACTGACTCAAAAGTCATGTAGAAGGAAATATTTAAAAGAAAGTCACAAATGTACATTTAAAAAAAAAGTACCTTCTTATATTGATGATTTTCCACTTAGGTACTTTATCTCAATCTCTTTTACCTCTGAAATCTAAATATCCCAATCTCTGATAGCACCTCTGTATTTTAAACATATCTCATAAATACAGCCTATTTTTATATTTTTATTCTGTCTAACAAATTGTCTTTTAATTGGAATGTTCAGTATATTTACATCTAATAAATTATTGGTTATCTATCAATGGTTAATCTACCATATGTTATGGTTAATCTAAAATATTACTTTGTTTTCTTTGTATACTATCTTTTCTTTGTTCATTCGATTTCCCTTCCAGCCAATGGTATGGAGTTGACATCAACTCTTGTTCATTCCCATTTCCGAACAATCACTAATTCCTTCAAATATCTCTTCAACACTTTAAAATTAGTCTATTTCTCTCAACTGTTATCATTGCTTCCTTTGTTTAGATGATTTCTTGTTCATTCATGCTTGGTTACAACAGTAGACTTTTGATTTCCTGCACCTGCTTTTTACAAATTACCAATAGAAATATCTTTCCAAAATCTAAGTTTGAATATATCATCTTCTTGTATAATCATTTGATGGTTAAACTTTGCCACACCAGTTTTGGAAATACCTGAACTTCTTACGTAAAGCTCAAAAGTTCATGTTTCTCCATAATCTCCTTATGTTCTATGTAATATATACTGAACTACGTTATGTTCTTCAAACATATCTTTTTATTTCTCTGCTTTGTGCCTGAGAATACCCTCATTTTCCTTGTAAGCCAACATCAAACATTTCTCTGTATAACCTTCCCCAAATCAGCTTCCAAAAAAAGAACTAACCACTCCCTTCTTTATTCCAAACCTTTTCCTTGCACAGGTACCTATTTTACTATACAGTGCTGAGTCACAATGGATTGTCTGTTCATTTTCAAAACAATGGAATTATTGAGGGCTTAGAAATGAATTTTGTATATATAGCTCTTGAAATATAATAAGTATTGTATAAATGTTAATTGTTATTTCCTGTCTATAACAAAAGAACTGTATTTAACAAAAAATAGCTCATTAATATGTTAAATAAATTTTTCTATGCATGCATGAGTCAGTAAAGGGTGAATAAGCTAAAATGTGAAAATTTGTGCTAAAAAAAAAATTATGCCAGATGGTAGCAAATACTTCGCTTCATCTTTTAGAATCTCAGAGGCAATATCAATGTCATCATGTACTCATAAGAATCTTTCTTAATTTTTATAGTTCATGTTGAGAATGTCTTTCTTTTAAAACCAATACCTAGAGTTGGAAGGCACCATAAAGCTCATGACAGATTTTGGAGAAGCAATGACAGTTATACTGACACAGCACTGAAGACTTGTTTAGAATAGTGTCAGTTAAATATAAATAAGTGTAGGAGAGGAAAAGTAATTTTTCCTCTACCATTCTAA